AGAACCAGCAGGGACAACACCAGTACCCCCAGCGTCAGCTCCAACTCCAGCAGCACCACCAGCTCCAGTACCTCCAGCAGCTCCAGCTCCAGCAGGACCACCAGCAGACACAGCCGCTCCGGCTCCAGTACCTCCAGTAGCACCCACTCCAGCAGCACCACCAGCTCCAGCTCCACCAGTAGCTCCAGCACCAGGAGCACCACCAGGCCCAGCAGCTCCAGTACCTCAAGTACGAGCACCTCCGGGACCCGTGGCTCCAGCACCCCCAGCAGAAGCAGAACCTCCAGTACCGGCTCCAGCAGCACCTCCAGCTCCAGAACCTCCAGCAGCAGCAGAACCTCCAGCACCGGCAGCACCACCAGCTCCAACAGCACGGCTCCAGCGGCGAGCAAACCACTCGCGCAGCTCCTGTGGAGAGGGAAGCTCCCGCCGGGACAAAGCACCCGAAGGACCGCCAGGTCCAGCACCGACAGGCTCCACACCCCCACTCCCAGCAGCCCCAGGCTCAGCACCCCCAGAAGCAGCACCCCCAAGCCCCGCACGCTCAGGCTCAGCACCCCCAGACCCAGCACCCCCAGGCTCCGCACGCTCAGGCTCAGCACCCCCAGACCCAGCACCCCCAGGCTCCGCACGCTCAGGCTCAGCACCCCCAGACGCACCAGAGTCAGCAGCTACCTCGACAGGCTCGACTGCATCTACCTGGGACACACCTGAGGGGGCAGGACCTTGAGGGGGGAGGGGGTCTACCGGGGGGGGACCGGGAGCGAGGAAGAGCGGCGGGGGGGGGAGGGGGGCAGTGCGGTAGGGGAAGAGACGGTAGTACGGAACCGACTCGTCAAACGTGACGTCCTGGGAGGACAGAACACGACGCGAGGTGGGGTGGTAAAACTGCCAACCAGGCGCGTCAGGGGGAAAGCCGAGGAAGACGCAAGAAACAGCACGGGAGGACAGCTTGTCCGCAGACAAGTCTCGGACAAAAGCTCGAGATCCCCAGACACGGAACGCAGACGCATCACCAACCTTCCCCGTCCACCGCAGAGTAGGGGAGGTCTCCGGCAGGGAGACGCGGGGCTGAAGGTTGATCTGATGCGCCGCGTACTGAACCGCGAACGGCCACAGAAAATGGGGAGCAGCCGCATGGATCATGGACGTACGAGCGACATCCATGACCATGCCAATGCGGCGCTCAGCAATCCCATTTTGCTGTGGAGAGGCCGGAAGCGTGAACGTCTGGCGGATGCCCTCCGCACGACAGAAGGCTCGCAGAAGGTCGGAGGAAAACTCTCCGCCTCTGTCGGAGTGCAGACACAGAACAGGAAAGTCCGAGCCGAAACGCTCTCTGAGCTGGAGACGAGCAACGCGGATCCAGTCGATCAACACCTCAGTGACCTCACCCTTGCTGCGCAAGGGGAAGACAGTGGTGTAACGCGAGTAGTCGTCAACCACCAGCAGGAAGTAACGCTCGTGACCCTGTCCACGGACGCGGGCTGGGCCCCACACGTCCATGTGAAGAGTCTGCAGCGGAGCCTCTGTCGGGGGAAACTCGGAGGAGTGAGGAGCGGCGCGCTGCCGCCCCTCGACGCAAGGAACGCAGGTAGGGGCAGGCCCCGGGGGAAGGGGAGGGAGGGACCGGGGGAGACCAGAGACAAGGACACGGGAGGCCATGCCTCGGAGACGAGGCAAGGAGGGGTGACCAAGGCGGTGGTGCCAGAGGAGGGTCTGGTGGGACAGGAGGCGATACGAGCAGGGGGCAGACTCAGGACCTGACCGAGACGCTGCAGCAAACACCTGACTCGACGCAGCTACCTGACCAGACGCAGCAACCGGAGGAGACTCTGTGGTCAGTGTGTACAGGCTCGACCCCGGTCGACGGGTAAACGAGGCCAAGTGGCGGCCCGTCTGAGCACACGTGCAGTGGGTCACTCGCTGACGTGCAGGAGTGAACTGGTCAACTCCGGCATCCTGAAGGTCAGCACCACTCACCAAGTTCGTGGAGAACGAGGGGAGGTAAAGACCAGACAGGGAGCCTGACGGGGCCGCCGGACACGGGAGGACAGTGGAGTAGCGAGCAAGGACAGGACCCCCAGAGGGGTCTGCCAGGGAGACCGCAACCGGCCGACTGAGCGGCGTAAGGGTGGTGCGGTCTCGAAAGAAGGAGCGGGAAGCACCCGAGTCGAGGGTGAAGGTGTGAAAGACCTGAGCCGACTCGGTACCTGAGAGAGCAGACTCACCAGCACCTAGAGCAGCAGACTCACGAGTACCTGGAGCAGCAGACTCACTAGCACCTAGAGCAGCAGCCTCAATACCAGGGTCAGGCGGAACACACACGTAACAGTCACCCTCAGCACTAATAGACACAGCATACATGGCAGCAAGAATAGCATCAAAGTCAAGATCAAAGATAGCTACCCCCGACCTTAGCAGATCTCCCCAACGAGGGATCTCAGTGGCGTCCGGGAACTGGGCACGCCAGGCGTCCGACAGGCGACCGAAGCAGCGCTGGGTGGCGTGCAGGCCGCCACACTGCTCTCCAGTGCGGTCACCGGTGCGCAGGACGTAAGTACAGGGACCAGCACCCCCAGACCCCTAGCGCCCCGCGTACCACTCACGAAGCTGCTGGGGCGAAAGGGGTCTCACAAGAGCGCTGCTGCTGCTGGGGTCCCCGCTGCACAGCTCCGCCTCTGCCAGCTCCACCTCCGCCGCCGCCGCCTCCGCCTCCTCCACCCCTCCCGCCACCGCCACCGCCGCCTCCACCTCCACTGCCGCCACCGAAGCCCCCACCTCTACCACCACCCCCACCCCCACCCCCTCCTCCGCCTCCACCGCCACTACCGCCGCCCCCACCACCTCCTCCAACTCCCTTGCCCCGCTTGCCCTTGCTGATGCGGCGCCTCTCACTAGGAGCAGACGCAGCACTGACCGACTCGGTGCCAACAAGGTCGACAGCAGCAGCAGAGGCAACAGAGGGCAAAAGAGGAACGGGGGAGCACCCCTCAAAGAAAGGGGTACGGGGGTCACCACGAGAGGCGCCTACAGCGGTGATACTAGTCTCTGCTGCAAGGAGGCGCTCCTTGAGGAGGTCGACAGTGAGGGTGGTAGGGCAAAGAGAGAGGAAGTGGTCCTTGACCGAGCGGAGAGTGTCAGGGAGTCGAGTGACTAGGTAGTAGAGGGTGATGTACATGGGGGGGGGGTTCTGGGCGCAGAACTCAGCAGGAAGCGCAGCGCGGTAGCGAGTGTCACTAGTGCGGAGGTGCGTAATGAGGTCAGTGACTGTGGCAAAAGCAGCGAGGTCAGGGAACAGGTACGGTAGCATGAGGCGGCTAAGCGCAGCAGTGGCAGGGGAAGAGTAACGTGCAACTACTGCGTCGTACAGAGTCTTAGCACTCTTGTACTGACTAAAGTGCGCGCGCTCAGTAGACAGTAGGTGACTACGCACAGCAAGGCGGGCAGCAGCATCGCGCGTGAGCCACTGCGAGCGAACGGTACTGTCAGCATCAGCAGCAGGGGCAGTAGAGGCGCCAGACGTGAGATCAAACAGGGAGAGACCATCCTTGCTATCGCACTGAAGGAAAAGCTGCAGATCATCTAGCCAGACATCAAAGTCAACCGCTCGACCCTCAGCATCAAAGGTGAGAAAACTAGGACTAGCCATGATAGGAGCAGCAGCAGACTAGCAGCGGCAGCAGTGCAACTGAGCGAGGCAGGACAGTGCGACTCGGCAGGGCGACTCGGCAAAGCAGTGCGGCTCGGCCGCGCGGCTCGGCCCGGCTAGGCGCTTACCAGGGGCGGAGCCGACAGGTCCGGGACTGGGTCGGGGCCGTGACAGGGCCGGGACAGGGTCGGGGCCGAGCAGGGTCCGGGACGGGGCAGCAACGGGGCCGGGACAGGGTCAGGGTCGGGGCAGGTCCGGGACAGGGTCGGGGCCGAGCAGGGTCCGGGACGGGGCAGCAACGGGGCCGGGACAGGGTCGGGGCCGGGGCAGGTCCGGGACGGGGTCGGGGCCGGGGCAGGTCCGGGACGGGGCCGAGGTAGGGCCGGGACAGGGTCGGGGCCGGGGCAGGCGGGACGGGGTCGGGGCCAAGGCAGGTCCGGGACGGAGTGGAGGCCGGGGCAGGTCCGGGACGAGGCCGAGACGGGGCCGGGGTAGGGCCGGGACGGGGCCTTTTAGGGGCGGCGCAGGGGCCGCGTCAGGTACGGGGCCGGGTCGGGCCGTTTAGGGGCCGCGTAGGAGCCGCGTAGGGGCGGCGTAGGGGCCGCGTAGGGGCCGCGTCAGGGACGGGGCCGGGTCAGGCCGTGTAGGGGCGGCGTAGGGGCCGCAGAGGGGCCGCGTAGGGGGCCGCGTAGGGGGGCCGCGTAGGGGCCGGGTAGGGGCCGCGTAGGGGCCGCGTAGGGGCCGGGTAGGGGCCGTGTAGGGGCCGCGGAGGGGCCGCGTAGGGGCCGCGTAGGGGCCGCGTAAGGGCCGCGTAGGGGCCGCGTAGGGGCCGGGTAGGGGCGGGGCCGCGTCAGGGACGGGGCCGCGTCAGGTACGGGGCCGCGACGGGGCCGTTTAGGGGCGGCGTAGGGATCGCGTAGGGGCCGCGTAAGGGCCGCTAGGGGCCGCTAGGGGGCCGCGAGGGGGCCGCGAAAAAAAAAAATTAGGGCAGGGCGCGAGACGCGCTTCGGGCAGCTAAAAAAAAAGGTTGCTTATGGTGGGCCCTTAGGAAGGAACGGTCCCATGAGGGAACCCGCTCTATACCATGTGAAAAATTAAACAGGAATGATTGAACTAGAAATGAGGTGGGTACAAATAGAGAACACAAAAGTGTTGTACCCTCTAGGAACTACCCCACTACAGCCTATATAGGCTAAGGCATATACATTTGACAAACCGAACCGTGTGGTTAGGTCGCATCGTGAACAGTGGCGGGAATGGTGTCGAGGCGAGTGTCGCGAGTGGTAACGGAATGTTGTGGGGTGCTGTTAGTGTTGTACGCGCTGAGCAGGGAAGCGAAGTAAGGAAAATGATTTCCCCTCCCATTCCGTCGCCCTCCCCTTCTCACGTTCTTTGGTCCTCGCTCCCATTCTGTCGCCCTCCCCTTCTCACGTTCTTTGGTCCTCGCTCTCGATTTCTCTGCTCTCCTCCCTTGGCTCTCACTTTCTCTTCTCTCTTCCCGTCGCTCTCACTGTCGCCGCTCTCCTCCCGTCGCTCTCACTTTCTCCGCTCTCCTCCCGCCGCTCTCGATTTCTCTGCTCTCCTCCTGTCGCTCTCACTTTCTCCGCTCTCCTCCCGTCGCTCTCAATTTCCCCGCTCTCCTCCCATCGCTCTCACTTTCTCCGCTCTCCTCCCGTCGCTCTCAATTTCTCCGCTCTCCCCCCGTCGCTCTCACTTTCTCCGCTCCCATCCCGTCGTTTTCACAATTTCCCTTCCCATCCCGTCGCTTTCGTCCTTTCCCTTCCCGTCCCGTCGCTTTTGTCCTTTCCCTTCCCGTCCCGTCGCTTTCGTCCTTTCCCTTCCCGTCTCGTCCTACCGTCTTTCTGGTGTTCTTCGCTCCCCTCCCATCGCCCTCGATTTCTCCGCCCCCGTCCCATTACCCTCGCTGTCGTCTCTCCCTTCCTATTGCCTTCCCTCCCCCCGTATTTCCCCTTACCTAACCCGTCGCTCTTGCTCTCTCCCCTCCCTTCCCGTCGCTCTTGCTCTCTCCCCTCCCTTCCCGTCGCTCTTTCTCTCGTCGCTCCCTTCCCGTCGCTCTTTCTCTCGTCGCTCCCTTCCCGTCGCTCTCTCTCTCGTCGCTCCCTTCTTGTCGCCCTCGATGCACGCGTCCTCTCACACCCCCCATCCCCCACCCCATTGCCTTCCTGCTCGTCACGAAACGCCCTCCCATCCCCCACCCACTTTCTCCTCCCATCGCCTGCCTCGTCGCCTTTGCACTCGCCCTCAAATGCGCTACCCGCGCCCTTCCTCTCTCCCTTCCTCTCGCCCTTCTCCCCCCCTCTCCTGTCGAGCTCGCTTTCTCTCCCCGTCTCCCGTCGAGCTCGCTTTCTCCCCCCCTCTCCCGTCGAGCTCGCTTTCTCCCCCCCCTCTCCCAACATAACAATACTTGTCCCTATCGGCCTCTCTCCCACCCGTAGCGTCACAATTCCCGTCGCCCCCTCCCTCTCACTCCTCTCGCCTCCCCTCCGAAACACCCTCACGTCGCCCACCCCGTGTCTTTCCTCGCTTCCCATCGCCTCCGCGCTCTCCCGTCCCGTCCCGTCGCCCTCGTGCCTTCCCTCCTGCTCCCGCGCTATCGCACTCGCCCATCCCATGCCTTCCCGTCGCCCTCGTGATCTCCCTTCCCGTCGCCTTCGCGCTCGCCCTGAAACGGCCAATCGCGCCCTGCCTCTCTCCCTCCCATCACCCACCTCGTCGGCCTCGAGCTCGCCACGAAATGCCCTCTCATCTTCTTTTCATCTCTCACCTCCCATCCCGTCGCCCTCCTCACGTTCTCCGTCGTCCCGTCGCCTACATGTCCCCCGCTTAATCCCGCCCCCTTCGTGTCCCCGCTCGTCCGTCACCCTCATTTTTCCCCCTTCTTCCCGTCCTCCTCGTTTCCCCTCTCGCCCCGTCGCCTTCGTGCTCTCCCCTCTCGTCCTTCCCTTCACCTTGGAACTCAAGGTTTTTCCCCGCGTATGTTTTTTCCCGCGTATGTTTTTTTCCCATGGCAGTTGTTCCGTGTGAATTGCACATGCTACCACTCGATGTGAATTTGTCACTTGCACAATGAGAATTGCATGTCGCAACGATGCGATACATTTGCACATGCTTGCGACGCCTAGGGTATCGAAATTGAAATGACAGACGGGAAAAAAAAAAAAATCACAAGTCAACACTTCCAACTTTCCAAAACAACACAAAGTATGTTTCAGATTCCTAGTGGACCCAACTAGAAGGGGGGGGGGTCACTATTTTGCCTACGGGCTTTAACAGTTCCTCCTGACATTGTACCTTACATTACACAGTGTCATACAGACTTGGTTTACAGCAATACACAAACTATAATGGTGCTCGGCCGGCTGAAGGTGTGATATACTACAGCCCGTTACCAGCATGAAGAACAAACAAATCGCTTCCTGACAGGCTAATGCACGTGACAGGTTGGGAACGTGTGGTCATCACCAGGTGCATATGACCCTGCCTAAACACAAATGTCAGAAATATTCCTACTGAAACACCCCACCCTCGCCCAAGACCATATCAGTCAGGGCCTGAGGACAGTATAAAACAACACTCGGGTCATTGGCGGTTCATGGAGTCAAAAAAATCGCTAATGGCGCCGTTCATCGAACCAAACGCATCCGACCTGCCCCTCTCCTCCGCTTTCTCTGCTACCTCACCGTTCACCACCCTACTGTTTGGCTTGCCGTTGACTTTCCCCGTCACTCCTGCTGCATCGTTCACATCCCTCAACCCACTCGTATCAGCAGCGCCAGCATCACTGCTTGCCCGTTGTGCTCTCAGCTCCCTCCTCCTCCGCCTCTCCTCCAGCCGCCACAGCCGCTCTGCTGTGTTCTCTATATCCCACTCCGTCAACCGAGCCTCGCTCTGCTCCTGCCGAACCTCGTCCCACTCACACGCCTCGTATCCGGTACTTTGCTCACGCTTACCCTGCTGCTTCGGCGGCGACCAGTCACTTACAGGAAAGGCTCGGATGCGAATCTCAGGTTCGGCATCTGAGCCAGTTCCGTCCCTGGCAGCTGCAGACATGTCATGAACAGCATTCTTCCCTTCCTCCTCCTCTCCTGCCCTATCAGCATAAACCTCGTCACTAGTCCTGTTCCTTAGCACGCCCCTCACACTCTCAAACATCCACCCAGCTGCTCCAGCCACGGCGCCTCCTGCTGCCCCTACCGCTCCTCCCACAGCCCCTGCCGCTCCTCCCACAGCCCCTGCAGCACCAACCACCAACCCCTTTGCACCGCTCAGCACCCCACCCACAGCTGCCACCGCCCCTGACCCCACCACTCCTGCCACACTCACCAACGACGGTTTCCTCTCCTCCACCTTCCCCTCACCAGTCCCCACACTGCTCCCCTCGCCCCCCTCCGCCGCCCTTACTTCCGCCTCATTACTCGCCACCACCTCAGTAATGCTATCCTCAACAATCTTATCCAGCCCCTTCTGCTCCCGCTCCTGCTGCAGTGCCTGCAACGCCTCTTCATCCACCTCCCCCTCCGCCCCTCCCTCCACTGCCGTCCCCTTATCACTGTCCGAGTCACTCTCTCCAAACACTTTAATGTAAGCGATAGGGGCGGTGGGTGCCGGAATAGCGGTTGTTACCGCGTTACCACCAGTGTTACTAAACGTGGAGGATTCGTCGCGGTCAACGTACGACTTGTAGGTGAGGAGAATGCGGATCTCGCCCTGTGCTGCTGGCTTGACGCCGAAGGGGGCGTCTTGTAACAGTGGTAACCACATGGAGAGCGGCACACAGTCCTGCAGTTGCCAGATGGGCACCTGGTATTGTGTGGGGCAAGGGGGGGTCGTGTGGGGTGGAGGTGCATCAGCAAAGGCACCAGCATGTTACGGCGCGACGACTTCAAGTGGAATGGTACACTGCCAGAGGGAGAGGCGTGGCAGGCGCCTGAAAACGGCAGAACGACAATCATCAACAGCATCAGAACTCAACCATGCCAGCCAGCACATCCCATCCGGTCCCAGCCTCAAGTGCCGCTCCACTCGCCGCGCATACAACGCACCTCGACAAAGCCAATGTTGCGGTTGAGCACCATCGAGTCTCGGAGCATGTCGGTGAGCTTCTGCCCCAGCACTCATACACCCCCCATGCTTGATCCTCCCAGACCCAGTGCCGCACAACTCAGTGCCGCACAACACAGTGCCGCACAACACAGTGCCGCACAACACAGTGCCGCACAACACAGTGCCGCACAACAAAGTGCCACAACACATTGCAGCACAACTTACCTCAACGAAGCCAATGTTGCGGTTGAGCGCCATGGAGTCTCTCAGCATGACGGTGAGCTTCTGCCCCACGGGGTCCTCCACCCAGAAGTGGAAGTCCTGATTCCACACCGGGTCCCTCGCTCCCGACGGGTGTGACGTCTCACTGTTGCGCTTGCTCTCTACCATCACATCGCCCACCATCAACCGACAGTACGGGTTGCTCCACACTGCACGCATAGGCACACACACCGACACACACGCATGCACATGTCCAGACACGGGACACAGGTCAGTTAGGGTTGCTACAACGAGAATGCGAGGCACGACAGACAAGGCCCATATGGTGCCCTACCTCCGACCTGATAAGCCATATGGCGGCACACAGCTGATAAGCCCTAGGACAGCACACCCACCTGATAAGCCATAGGACGACAGGTTGCGCGCCTCGCAGAGGGTGACAGAGAGCTCTCCCACGAACGAGTCGCTGGGCTCCATGCGCGTGGGCACGAGCCCTGACACCCATCTGATAGCCCATAGGACGGGCACCCACCTGAGAGGCCATAGGAAGGCAGGTTGCGCGCCTCGCACAGGGTCACTGAGAGCTCCCCGACAAACGAGTCACTGGGCTCCATGCGCGTGGGCACGAGCCCTGACGCTGCTGATGACGGCCGCTGCCCCGCCAGCCCCGTGAGCGTCTCCGATTTAAGCAGATCCAGTACCATCGCGGATGCTGCTGCTGCCATGTGCTGCTGGGGGTCCTCCCCGGCCGGGAGGAAGTCGAAGGTGATGTGACGTGGCAGCACGAGCAGACGTGGCAGGTCGACTGTGAGTAGCTTGGAGAGGAAGCTGAAGGAGATGAGGGCGGGTGGGGCGTGGGATGGACAGGAGACGGTGTGAGTGTGGTGAGTGGTGAGCGTGTGGTGGGAGTGTGGTGGGAGAGTGGTGGGAGTGTGGGACATGGGAAAAGCACAGGGTGTCACTCAAGCTAGCAGAAAACAAGAAGATGGCGGGGGAGGAGGGGAGGGGGGGGAAGCGTGGTTGGGGGAAAGCGGGTTACAAGGAGCGAGCGACAGAACGATGGGCTAACCTGGAGAGGAACGGAATGGCTGCTCACGGCGTTGAACGACGGCAATCCCAAGACCGTGAGACGCGGGGAGCGACGGACCCGCGCGAAAATACCAAGGAAAGGGGGAAACGAGAGGAGACGGGAAGAAAACGTAGGTGAGTTGAGGAAGCAGAGCTCGCACGATCGAGCAAACAGAGAAGGCGCGGCAGGTCAGGGGTGCGAGAAGAAAGGGCAAGCAGAGACAACACGGACGTTGACAGATACGTCGGTCCTGAAGCAACCAGAGACGGGGGCTCGGCGCGCAGCGCACTCACCGAAGAGGTTGACGATGCGGAAGGGCGCGAGGACGAGCTTGATGGTGGGCAGGCGCACGAAGGCGATGGAGAGCGTGCCGACGTACGGCTTGCGCGGCGTGAGGCGCAGCTTCACCCAGAGCTCCGCGTCCACGTCCAGGTCGTGCACACCCACCGGCACCGCGAAGTCGACTCCCGCCACGCGCAGGTGCAGCAGCAGCAGACACCGCGCGTCGCCCGTGTAGCGCAGCGCCACGTGGTACCTGGGAGGGGTGGGGTGGGCGGGATGGGGACGGGTGGACGGGGTGGGTGAGGCAAGGGGAGGGGAAGAGGAACGTTATTGACACGGACGCAGGCGGAATTGCGGCAATTGGCACGGGCATGGGAACAGGTATGGGCACGGGCGCGGGCAAGAGCAAGGAAGGAAACTCACTGGAGGTCGTTGGCGCGCCGGCTAGCGCGGCGCTGCACGTTGCGGACGGCGAGCGGTTCGTAATCCAAACTGAACTCGGCAATCTCGACGCGCGTGACGACGGCGGGCAGCGGGAGCGTATCAATCGCCGGCTGTAGCAGCCCGACGAGCCATGCCTCAATGGAGCGGCGATACACCTTCCACATCTTATGCAGCACCATGTTTACCCACTCCACTGACTCCTTGCCGCTGCCCACGCCCGCCTCCGCGCCGCCCATTGCGCTGCTGGGATCCGCCGCCGGGGGGACCTCGGGTAAGGCCGCGGGGCCCCGCTCCTTGGCTTCCGCGAGAACCTGTGGAGATTCAGAAAGGGCGCGAGGCGACTTTATGGTGGATCCGAAAACCAATCAATCGACGACAACTCAGCGAATTTTGCACGCAGGAGAACTCGGCGCTGAAGGAGGATGGTATGGAACAGCTGGCATGGCATGGCTGGCATGGCATGGCTCGCTTCGATTGCGTGGGGGGAATTAGCCCCCCCTTAGAATCGGCAATCCGCGTACCTTGGACTCTTTTCGCTTCGACAGCCACGCGATGCACCCCGACGCCATGAGAGCCGTCGCGGCGCCGATCGTCGCGAACAGCATGTCGCGGAGCGGCCCTTCCACGTCGTGCATCGAGATTGGCAGAGCTCTCGCCACGTGCGACCGAGAGCGCGACCGCTTTCCGAGCAACAAATCCCTGCCGGGATGTGCGGCCCCCTGCTGCGACTCCTCCCGTGGAGCATCGTCGATAATTGAAGAGTCGCTGACCGGTTGGCTCGAGGCGTGGCTAGCAACGGACGGTCTAGATGACGCAGTGGAAGTATGGAAGGCCTGTCCGCTGCACGATGGTGGCACGAGAAGCGGTCGACAAGCGTGGACTGCGGTGGAGTGTCGCAGGTGCGACTGGCGAAGGAGGGAGGGCTTCACGGGAAGAAACGACGTCGTTAATTTCGGACTACATCGCGGCTCTGACGGCGTTGGCGCAGCGGGCGGCGACTGCCGTACAGCTCGTGACTTGGGCTGCTGAACGCGGGGACTCGAAAGCGGGGAAAGCAGAGCATGGCTCGCTAGCGAACTTTTGGCGGCCATGGCCGGGGCTTGCACTGCATGGTCCATGTGTCTGAAGGAGGCCACTAGTATCCAAGCCTCCACACGCCTACGTCGCAATTCACTAGATTTCAGACGGGCGTTGACAATTCTAAAAGATGATCTCGAAAAAACGGATTGGTCTTGCTCTGCAAGTTCGGGCATGACCTATACCTCCCTAGAGAGAAGTTTGACAGCATAGAGACGTGGATGTGAGGTGGGGCAAAGAAGCATGACTGTCGGCTTCGCTTCTTGCTTCCTCGCGTTGTTCGACCCTTCACTCGCACTTTCTCCTCCGCCCACCAACCTCCTAGATTTCATCCTTGCGCGCGCTGGTGCAAATCTGTGCCTCGCGGTCACCCATGCCGCACCTTCCGCGCGGACAGCCTGCCCGCGCCCCTCTGCTGCCATCACCATCATGCTTTCTGCCCGTGCGTTGCCCTCACACGAACGGAGAACGTCGCTTTTTCTAGGCAGCGCCTCCTCAAATTTTAATACCTGCCCTGAGCCGTTGTCCTAGGTTCTGCTCCGTGGCGCACCGAGCCCTGAGGAGCAAACGGGAGAGAAAAGTGACCTAGGGGGGGAAGCGGTGGTCCCACCACCACCCGCAACTTTTTCTTTCGTGAGAACTTCGCACGCGTCTGCGGTGACGGAGAATTCGCCACATGACGTATGGATCTGACCACAAGTTTTTTTCCGCCCCAGCGAACGGCGTGGTGGTACATACCGGTCCGGGCAGTTTTGCACTTTTCATCAGCTTGCCCCCCAACTATTGGAAGCAGACACACAGCCAGTGCGATTGGCTGGGTGAGGAAAAATTGCATCCTTGCTATCATCGATCTGGCCCTTGGGACCGTCCAATCAACACCCCAGGCTGGTCAGCCACGTCAGGGATTTGAAAACCGTGTTGGCGGCAACGGAATGGCTGCTCCAGTTTGCGTACCTTTTGTGGTTGCCGCCTCCCCAATGGCAGGGTGATTCCAGTTCTCCGTGCCTGAATTCGAGGGGATTTGGTGAGCAAACTATCGGTTTTGCTGGGAAACATTGAGCAGAACAAGGAAGATAGTTTGGGAAACGGTGTCTACACCCTAAAGTAAATTGACACCAAATGTAACTTTAGGTGCCTGAGAATTTTGCACTATTCCTTCCATTTCCATATCGATATTTTAATCATATTTACATAAGCACGTACCCAATTATGATGTATACTTGTGATATGTACATGACTTAACACATTAGCCAGAATCAGCCCCACCTCCAAAGGCCTGCTTATCATAGTCGACAGCTTTGAGGTGTTCAACATCGGCCCACCGTAAGATGGTCCACTTATTGGGAGGAGTTACTCTAACAATGCCAATTGATGTGTTGTACACTTTCTTCGCATGCCTGTTTCCTGATGCCTTCATCTGAATGCAATTGCACACTCCACCGTGAGTCACCAGCAGCACCCTTTGGCCTGCAAACAGGTTTCGAAAGCCATCACTTACACAGATGTAAAAGCAAAGAAACTTGAATAGTGCTGCTTTCCTGCTCTTACCGAGGTGATCCTTGGAAATGCGATTGACGGTTGCTGTCACCCTCCCATACATGGCTTCCAAGCTCTCTCCCCCTCCCTTGTGTTCACACGAATCAAATAGAGATAGAAACAAGAGGGCAAGCAACCCACTAGAGCGTGAGAGGGGCAGAGAAGGCACAGTGAGGGCAGGCCCCACAACAGACAAAACCAATGATGGAGTTGAGGAGAAGAGACGGCAAAGGAGTGGCATACAGGAATGGGTTGACTCCAGTCCTTCGAGGTAAGTGTGCTGTAGGCCTCAGGGTGCTTCCGAGAAGCTTCCTCCCGAACGAGGCCCTCCAAAACCCCCAAGTTGCGCTCTCTGAGCCCCGGCAGCTGCACCACCTGCTCTCCCCGCATGCCCACCGCCTCTGCCACCGCCTCCGCCGTCTCTGCCGCCCGCCTGAGGTCCGACGAATACAGCGCTGTGAACGGCAGGTCACCCCCGGCAAAGCGAGCTGCCAGCTGGCGAGGGGAGAGGGGATGAAGAGGTGACGGGGAAGGCATGGAGAAGGCATGGAGAGGGGAAGGAGGAAGGAGGGGGTATGAGAACAGGAGGAGCGCATGGCAGCCTGAATGCAGCTTCACCGTGACTGGAGCTGCAGTTTCACCATGACTGGAGCTGCAGTTTCACCATGACTGGAGCTGCAGTTTCACCATGACTGGAGCTGCAGTTTCATCATGACTGGAGCTGCAGTTTCACCATGACTGGAGCTGCAGTTTCACCGTGACTGGAGCTGCAGTTTCACCATGACTGGAGCTGCAGTTTCACCATGACTGGAGCTGCAGTTTCATCATGCAGGACGATGGAGAATGACATGCATGTGAATGGGCATGTAACGAACGGGCGTGGAGGCGGGAAGACGAGGGGAGAGGACGAACGACTCATTCGGAAGACCAGCGTGAGGGGTGAGGCGGGGCGCACCGCGCGGGCCTGAGCGCGCCCCGCGTCGCTGAGGTCGGACTCCGTCTGCCCCTGCATGCGGTTCTCGCGATTCCACGTCGTCTCGCCATGCCGCACCACCACGATCTCCGCCACGTTACGCGGAATGAACGGATTCGATCGGTACGTCCACGTGGCTTGCGTGGCGCCTTCGGCTGACGATTCCACGCGTGACGTGGTGGCATCAGTGCTGGTCGCTGCCGTGAATCCCGGATCACCGGCTGCTTCTGCCCCCCCCGGCATTGTCACACTACGAGATGAAACGAGGCCAATCAGCGATCGTGGGACGACAGTCGACGAGGCAACCAGTTTCCTGAATTGCGATGGCGAAGGAGAACGGTGAGCACCGCGGCGTGCGTCGAGCAGCGAAGTGCGAAAAAGTCGAAGTGAGGGCATGAAGAGGTGGCGACGGCAACGGCGGCTGCGGTCGAAAAAGTACTGCGAGGAATGAGCGGTGGTGGTGGTGAATGGCTTTCGTACCCGCTACAATGGTTTTCAGAGCTTAGAGATGGAGAAACATTATAATATATTTTCCAGCTGAATCCACAAAATATTGATCCGATCACTGACTTCTAGCCCTAAAACAGCCCGTCAGTCTGTTTCTTGCACCGAATTGTGTTGGTCCGTCCCCGTAACTAGTTGTTGCAACTGCAACTCTCGCAATACGTCGCACGTTCCTGGGGCGGTCGTCAAGCTTTTGCACGCTACGAGGGAGAGGAAAAACGAAAATCGCCTTCACCGCCGTGCGGCGAGGAGCCGAATGGCGCACGTGCTGCTCAAGCGCACGTCGGCACCTACCGCCGCCGCGGCACGGCGAGACGACGGGTCGGATCGCTCCTCAGGGCAGGTGAATCCTTTCTTCTCGCACCCGCGCCCTCGTAAGTTTCACGCCTTGACTGCGGGCCCGTCTCCCCGTGTCTTTACCGGAACTCTCCGTTTTGGCGCCTCGGTCTAGGCTTGAAATCGCGATCTTACTCTTCACCCTAATCGCTCCTTTTTTTGACATGCGGCTCCACGTTGCACCACTTTGCACCGCACTGAACCGCAGATGGAACACCTCCAGCGCTATGAAGAGGAGCAGATGAGCCAGCTCCGCTATTGGTCACGTGCTCCCGCCAGAGCTGACGTGGCGCATCCAGATCCTCTCGCTGCTGACGTGGACGATCTGTTGGAGATTGCAGCGGCAATAAGACAAGTGGATTCGGATAAGAGCCTTGCCAGCCAAGTCAGCGACACGGGGAGCCAGCGATTGCAGCTGACTCAGCAGCACCAGCCAACGCATGGAGGACACGTGGCAGCGGCAACAGCCTCGGAGGCGGCAAGGAGTGGGATGGATGAGGAGAGGAGTGCACGGAGCAGTGAGAGGGGAGGGGCCGTGGGGCAGGACAACTGGGGCGAGGGGGTGGTGGTGCATGCTGGGAGCATGGGAGGCGCGGTGGGAGCAGCAGCAGCGACAGCCGCTGCGACTGAAGCTGCAGCGGCGCTCATTCGACCCCGTGGGCTGTACGCTGCCGGCCAATCAGGGCGCAGCTTTGGTAGGGGAAGGCGACAAGCCAGGCACGGTGAGCAGCATCAGCAGCATGGGGAGGCGACGAGGGGAGGTGGTTGGGGAGGAGGAAGATGGGAAGGAGTAGGAGAAGGAGAGGTTGGAGGAAGGGAGAAAGGTGGAGAGGGAGAGGGAGGGGCGGTGAGGGCAGTGGACAGTGTGAGTCTGCTGCATCAGCAGCAGCCGCTGCTGCCAGAGGGGGCCTCAGAGGACCACCTTCGCCGCTTCGGCTCCATCACTCGCTCCCTCTCCCTCTCCTCCTCCTCCTCCACCCCCACTGCCGCTGCTGCTGCTGCTGCTGCTGCTGCTGCTGCTGCTGCATCTGCTACGGCTGCTGCGGGAGGGATTGAAGGCGTCAGAGGCTCCCCAAGCTCCCTCCACCCTTCTCCCTCCCCCATCTTTTCCTCCCAAGCCTCAGGGGCAGGCTTGGCTCAAGCTTTGCTGTACAGGACTAGGAGCGAGTGTGGACGTGTGGGGGATGGGGGTAGGCGTGTGGGGAGTGAGGGCGCTGCTTCTCCTAGCCTCTCTGCCACGGGGTCAGCACACACTGCTGCCACGTCAGCATGGGAAAGCTGTTCCGATGGGTCAGTGGGGGCATTAGAGAGTGCCCACGAGGCTCTGGTGACGAGCAGGAGGGGCGAGCGGCAGTGGTGGTGGAGCAGCATGAGTAGTGTGAGTGAGGAGATGGGAACGGGCGTGTGGAGTGCGAGTGAGGGAGTGGGCATGGGGACGGGGCGTGGAAGTGTCCTGGGGAGGGGGCATGGGGTGGCACCACATGAGGTGGAGGGGCGGTGGGGGTCGGAGGGCGGGTATGTGACGCGGAGGGAGATGCATGCAGTGCTGGCAGGCATGGCTCAGCTGCAACACACTGTGGATGGTGTGCTCCTGCACCTGCAGCAGCAGCAGCAGCAACAACAACAACAGCAGCAGCAAACGGGGCAGACACAGCAGCAGCAATCTTCAGGGGCAGCAGCAGGCAGGAGCAGGGATCCAGGCAACGAGCAGCAAAGTCCGCAAGGCCATGAGTCATTACGGAGTGGGTCTGCAGTGCAGCAGCATGGTTCATGGGCAGGAGAGCAGGGCGTGGGGGGCAAGGAAGCACCGCTGCTGCTGCCGCTGCCTGCGGTGCTGCTGCTGTCCGCCCTGGTGGCCCTTGTCCATGCGCTTTGGTCCACCTGCAAGTGGGGCGTGGGGCTCGTGTGGCCGCTGTGCCTGCTGCTGCCGCTCATGCACCGCTTGGAGCACCACTGCCGCCTGCACTGCCAGCTTTGGATTGGAGCTGTGGATGGCCCGAACCGGGAATGAAGGGCTTTTTGCTGTTTGGGGCGTGGGGCTCGTGTGGCCGCTGTGCCTGCTGCTGCCGCTCATGGACCATATGGAGCACCACTGCCGCCTGCACTGCCACCTCTGGACTGGAGCTGGAGATGGCATGGACCGAGAATGAAGGGCTTTTTGCCGTGTATGCTGTGCTGTCCATTTGATTGGTTGTGGTAGGAAGGCTGCTCAATTGTGGTTTGCTTCGCCTGATTGCTTGTGGGTCGAATGTGCGTTTCTGTGGAGTATGGAATGGCGACTTGGCGTGTTGTAACTTGTAAGCAATTACAGAACACACAAGAATGCATCACTCAGGAAGGCATGATGCGTAGAACAACCTGCTAGAAAGGCATGATGCCGGTGTAGCGGAAGCCTTGATTGTAGAAGAGAATAGCAAGAGAACCATGCAACTGAATAGATTGATTATGAAACCTCACAGCAAGGAATTTATGCTATCAGCTACCCTGCCCACACCTATCCATGCACACTAATAATTGTACCACCAATAATGGCAACTCCAATAAAGGAGTACCAATAATTCCACCCCCAAACCTCTAGAATCCAATAATTCTGGCCCTACAATAATTGTACAATTATTGTAGGACCTGGAGTCTTATAAAGGAGACTACAGTAAAAATCTAATAGCATATATAGTTCCTCATGTTTCTTTTTCCAACACTCCCCCTGCTGTAGATTTTACTATAAACCTACTGGGGTGCATTTTTGTGGAGGGTAGGAGTATAAGGTGGTACCGTACCTGTTGGAAACAAGTGATTTATAATGCCTCTGTCGTATCGAAGCTGAGACACAAAACGGAACCGACTACAGCGAAGAAACACGCGAGTCAACTATCGGAGGTTACGCGAAGGTCAAAGGTCCCCGACCTTTGACCTGACGAAATGCACAGTGCGACAGCAATGACATATTACAGAGCAGTTACCCGAGTCGGCACTGTATCGAACCGCAACAGCAAAACAGTTAAAATACCTAGAACCTCTCATATTCCTTGTAATCATATAAAAGCTTGTATCTCTTTGTTATTATTAACTTATCTTGTTCTCACAAACTAGCACAAGGTGGTTCACGTCAACTCTACATTAAATACTTCCGCTGTTACAACTCTACATTGTTCTATCCTTGAATTCTGTCCTGCAAAGATCCTAAGGGCTTTCTCAGCCCAACATGGTATGAGAGCAGTCAGGACAATTTCAACTACGATCAAGACACCTGCAACATCACAAGACATGGCAACGCAAAAGGAGAGAAGCTCCTCTAACGGCTCTCCCGGTACTACTCCTACTCCACCTCCTGCCTCTGGCCTACAAACAGAGGAGGGTACGACAACAAGGTCAAGAGCAACATCTTCAGAAACTCCCGCAAATCAAGCCGCGGCCTTCGATCAAGACATGATGGAGAAGTTTTTCTCCTTCATGTCCTTCTACGAACAACACCAGCAAGGGGCACCTGCACAGTCAAACAACAGCAACAACAACGCAACACCGATGAGCCTCGACGGTTCATCCTACGCACGTGGAAATCAACAGCAACGGCCTACCTTTGCTCCGTACGAGCCCCAGCATGGCTCCGTCAGCTTTATGCCACACCCGCAGCCTGCACCTGGACAAGAAAAGACACTGGACGCACTTCAAGTTCAGTCGCAGTTCGCGCACGTCTTAATATTACAAACGACAAGGCCTTTCGACGGAAAAGACTTCTTTACCTGGTCATTCGAGTTCGAGCTAATGATGGAAGGCGCACAGATCCTTGGCTTCTTCGACGGGTCCCTGTCATATCCAACACACGGCACACAGTACGACAAGCAGCAGTACACGTATCAGTCAATGATGGCGTACACAATACTACTAAGAAATATTACTCCGAATCAGCAGCAGAATATACGGTCTTACCGGGGATACGGCAACTCTGCAGAGCTCGCGTACAACCACCTGAAGAACCTGTATCAAGCAACAGACAGCGTCAATCAAAGTCGGTTAATGGCGCAATTGACGACAGTCGAAATGAAACCAGGCGAAAAGGGGATGGCGTATATCAGCCGTTGTCGCGAATTGCGCGACAAACTCCTTTGATGCGGAGGGTCGATTTCAGAAGACGCCTTCGTCACCGTCATCATCGGCGGCCTCGGTCCTCAGTGGCGCTCCACCCGCGCCATACTCCGAGCCCACGGAAAGATATTGTCAGAATGTTATGTTTTGTCTAGCCTGCAGTGGGGTACTCAATAGTGAGTACAGCCCAATTTAGGGTTTGCTATATGTACTCAACTGCTTGCTAGTGAAACCCCCTCTTTCTCATTTCTAACTTCCTTTGGTTTCTAACATGGAATCAGAGCAGGTCGACCCTCACGGGTCGATCCTATGCATGGGCCCACCATTATCTTCCGCTGCTATCCTACCTATCGCGCGCCTCGGGCGCGCGCTATCTTCCTGCCTGCCGCGCGCCCATGGCGCGCGGCCTTTTTTCTTCCCGCCGCGCGCTAGGGTCGCGCGGCGGTTTTCTGCCCGTCGCGCCGCCCTCTGGGCAGCGCGACGCCCTGCTCTGCCCGTCGTGCGCCCCGCGGCACGCGACGGTTCTCTGCCCGTCGCGCGCCCCGGGGCGCACGGCGGTTTCGTCCCCCGGGGGGGCCCGCGCGGCCCCCTTCCCCCCCTTCGTCGCCCGTCGCGGCGCCCTGGGGGGGGCCGCGCGCGGCCCCCCCCAGGGTCGCCTCGACAGGCGACGGGAGGGGCGACTAGAGGGGGGCCGCGCGTCGGCCCCTCCCGTCGTCGTCCCGGCCCTGCCCCGTCCCGGACCTGCCCCGGCCCCGTCGCGGCCCCGTCCCGGACCTGCCCCGGCCCCGACCCTGTCCCGGCTCTGCCTCGGCCCCGTCGCGGCCCCGTCCCGGACCTGCCCCGGCCCCGACCCTGTCCCGGCCCTGTCCCGGACCTGCCCCGACCCTGCCCCCCCCCCGCCTTTTCCCGTCGCCAGTCGCGGCGCCAAGGGGGGGGGGGGGGGGGGGGGGGGGGGCGCGCGTCGCCCCTCCCGTCTTCGTCGCGGCCCTGCCCAGCTGCCGCCCCTGCTGCTGCCCTGCCCTGTGTTGGGGTTTGGGGGTGGCGAGTGTGGGGGTGCCGGATGTAAGTGGTCTCCCCTACTCCTCCTCCTCCTCCTCCGTCTCCCACTGCTGCAGCTGCCGCTGAGGGGGGTGGGTGTGTGGGAGCCGATGGAGTGGTGCTAGTGGGTGGAGTATGAGTAGTGCTAGAGGTGCAGCAGGGGGTGTGTGAAAGTGGGGTGAGACAGTTAGAGGATGTTGGGCGGAGGCAGCTGTCGTGTCGCCAGCAGCGCCAGTAGTCCGGAGGCTACAATCTCCGGTAGCCCAGCGAGCCTGCTGCGCCAGTCGCCCGTGGGTCCGTTGCTCCTGCAGCTCAGAGTTAGTCGCGGAGGCAGTTACTCCAGTAGTCCGGAGGCTACAATCTCCGGTAGCCACAGTGCGCGCCGCTCCTGTTGCCCGTGTGTCTGCAGCTTCACCTGTCGTCTCCTATCTCTTCTCCTCTCACAGTCCCTCCTCCTCCTCACTTACCATCTGTGACTGCCTCTAGCTTTGCTTATATTTGTGAACTATAAACTGCTACTTCTTGTACTTGTGCTCAGAATGTGTGGTGACTTTGTGATCCACCCTGAGCTTGTTTTGCTTTGCTTGTTGTGCTGATTACACCCCACAATGGCTATGGGGGTGTGTCAGAATGTTATGTTTTGTCTAGCCTGCAGTGGGGTACTCAATAGTGAGTACAGCCCAATTTAGGGTTTGCTATATGTACTCAACTGCTTGCTAGTGAAACCCCCTCTTTCTCATTTCTAACTTCCTTTGGTTTCTAACAGATATCAGAAGCAGCACTCTGCGCCGAGATCCACACTGAACAGCAAGATATGGACCTGCAAGAAGCACGACACAAAAAGAAGGCATCAGTGCCCGAATTCGCATTTCACACTCAACGACGCTACAACAACGGCAACCGGCATCAACCGAAATCAGTACCTCCGTTCTGTCATCTCTGCAAAACGTCAGGGCACCCCCGTACACAGTGCCCAAACCGGCTGCTTCGCCCTTCAAGCAGTCAAGTCGCCTCAACGCAAGCAAACCCGACTTCTCAAGTACAAGCCTCAACGACGTCGACGGGACAACCTGCGCAAGGAACAAGAAACATCATCAGTTGCATGACACGACTGACCGATTCCTGCATCACAAAGTCACCACCATATTACTCACCGGAAGAACAACTCGACAACAGCACGCCTCGCCGCGAGTCACTTCAACCAAACCCGACATATGCAGCTATTGCTCAAAGCGAACCGTCCGGGAAGGATACGTGGTTCTTGGACAGCTGCTGCGGACAACATATGTGCTCTTCAGGACGTTTTGTTCAACGTGAACACCAACTTCAACGCGAGGTCGTCATCACCGTCGCCAACAATCAAAACCTGCGCACATGACGACAAGGCGTAGTGCAACTTCAGTCACGAGAGACAAACGTCATACTACAAATGTCAAAAGTTTTACATAGCAGAAGGACTCGGCTACAACTTACTGAGTGTCAGTCAACTGATGGCGAAGGGGATCCATCTTGAGGCAGACAACACCACACAGGAATTCAAGCTCTTCCACGGTCGAGGAGGACTCTACATCGGCAGAGCAGTATTGAAGAACAACGTCTTCGTCCTCGACTTCGTACCAGATCAAGGAACGGCCGATAGCGACGCCATCGTCAACTTCGCACCCTGGACGCACCCACCGGACCTCGACCCCGACTTCAGCCCCGGAGGGTTCTGGTATTCACATACCATACCTGAAGCAGAAAGAACACGAGCATTAGCAACAATCCGACAAGAAGCAACAACATCGACAGTAGCAGAGACAACATCGGCAACACCAACAACACTTACAACACCAATCGCGAGCTCTTAAACGACATCGCCACACATCGACAACACTCCACCGACTTCTG